CCCCCACACTTAAACCTCCTTCTGTGGATAACACCTGATTTACAACATCAAAAACATTTGTTCCTTTGTTAGTCTCTATACGGGGTGGTCATCTACCTGGAAAAGTCAGAATTTGTTTTTTAATCTAAAAAGATTCAGAGAAATTTCCAATATTCTCCCTTAACCTCGAAATGTCAGGTAAAATTGTGTCCCCCCTATTTTTATTTATTTCAGAACTTCCTAAAGCATGAAAGCCATGCTGCTTAGCTTGGTCACTCATTCTATGGTATCTTATCTGGTGATAATTATTGATTTCATTATATTGCTGATAATCAGTGGTGTGCACAGAAGTGTGGCTGGGTGGACTCAAGCCCCTGCCTTTCGGCTCTTATGCCCCAAAATTGCTGTTTTTCTGAGTAATAAACATTGTCCATAACTACTAAAAGACACGCCTGATTCCACACCTTGCTATCCAGGAAGTTTTTAGTGAAAAAATTTCAGCTTTAAAATGAATGCCACACAGGGACTTGTACGTCTTTACAGGAAAAATAATGATAATTACGTTATACTATTAAGTGTTAATATACAATAATTGACAATTTAGATTTATATTCTAAAAATGTTTATAAGACCGTGAATAAAAAATAATCTACTTGCTACTCATGGCTTTCTATCCTAGGCAACTCAGTCCCCCGAACACCACCACCCACAAACACAAAATTCTTGCCTTACGATGCTTGAAAAGTGCCCTTTTTTGTCAATGGGCTACTGTCCTTTTAATGTCCTCTGCGCGTTACTGCTTGTAAGTTAGATAAAGTTTTTTTCTGATAAATAATAATACAAAACGTTGTCGAAACGTTGTACATTTGCTGTTATGTTAAACTTATATTAAAGTTTTTCTTCATTACCCATTCAAGCCGTCTCCAGCCATTATTAGTTTCACAGTGGGTTCCTCGTCATCGAATTTGAATACATTGGTTTACTGTCTAACATACAATATCTTTATGTGAAGATATTTTCATTAGTCCTGTTGTATAAAATAAATAACTTTTAATGTTTTTGCTAGCTTTTATAACCACACTGCAAGCTAAAATGATCCAAAATTTTGTATACTTTTTAGAAAACAATGTGTCGGTTGCAGGTCTGAAAAATCTGTAACTGCCTGGAAAAGACAGGGGGGAAAAGGTTTGGAAAGACTATGGACACTAGGGTGTACCTTGATTTGTTACTGTTGATTTGTGCTCAAACGTTAATTTAAACTAGATTAGAATGTAAATTTTGTTTTCGGTCAACAAAACACTGTAGAAGCGTATTTCTAGATTTTAAAATTTACAAGATGATTAATATTAAAATAGTTTACATGTAACATAAAACAATATTTCACTAATTCCATCAGGCGTCATCAATGTTTCAAAATATTTTGACCGAGTTAATTCGGGCAAATCATTACTCGCCGTGTTTTCAGTTATTTACCTGAACTTATTCGAATTTTATCATGTATTACAATAGGCTATCAAAAAGCGAAATAAAAACCTGTCTTTTTAGCTCATTTACACACGCACAAAAAAACTCCCGATGCGGAAGAGTTTAAGATAAAAAAAACTTGAAATATGCATAAATATAGTATTTCAGAAAAATATATCAAAATACGTTATATAATAAACATGTCTAGAGAGCAAACTGACACATTTGGACATTAATTTTGACATTTTGTGTAATAAAAAATATGGCGAACCTAATTTTCTGAAATACTGTATATCTATTTTTCAACCTATTCAACTTTGTTCCTTAATGAGAATTTTCATTTTGTTGCACATTTAAATCTAGTAATAATGATATGTACATCAAACTAAACCCAAGATAAACTTTGATAGATAAATAAAAGTTCTAGCATTGCGTTAATGGATAACACCAAAGTAAAGTTTAGTGAACCTTACCCGATATGCTAGACTAACCTCGTGTATGTTTTTAAACCACTTCTGTGTTGGTTTTAAATGTAATGTCTTATAAATATGTAGATTGGTTGTTAGTGCTTTAAAACATTCATCAGCTCTGAGATAAAACCAAAGTTCTTTTTAAGAAGTAAATAAATAGGTTTGTTGAACCTGGCATTTTTTCCCTTTAGTATTAATCTATTTGGTTTTGTGCTTAAGTTTTGTTGTAACGCTGTTGCTTAATAGTGATGGGTTTTTTGAAACGCCACCTTGTGACATTTCGATGACAATTTTCAATATATAATGATAATCATTTGATTCCACCACCTTTAAAAAAGGCTAATTTCCAAGTTATATAATAAGAAATTAAACCTTTTCAATTACAATTTGAGCAAAACATTACAACTTTCTTACTGGGGTCTACTCAGTATAATGGTTAACAAAACATTACACACCTCATTACAACTTTCTTACTGGGGTCTACTCAGTATAATGGTTAACAAAACATTACACACCTCATTACAACTTTCTTACTGGGGTCTACTCAGTATAATGGTTAACAAAACATTACACACCTCATTACAACTTTCTTACTGGGGTTTATTCAGCGTTTTAATTAACAAAACAACACACCTCATTACAACTTTCTTACTGGTGTCTACTCAGTAAAATGGTTAACAAAACATTACACACCTCATTACAACTTTCTTACTGGGGTTTATTCAGCGTTTTAATTAACAAAACAACACACCTCATTACAACTTTCTTACTGGTGTCTACTCAGTAAAGTGGTTAACAAAACATTACACACCATCATTACAACTTTATTACTGTGTTTTATTCAGCGTGATGGTTAACCAAACATTCTACACTATCATTACAACTTTCTTACTACGGTATACTTAGCGTGTTGGCTAATAAAACAGAGATTAATAGTTTCGTTTTGAGCTTATTTAGTGATTAATTATATGTACCTGAGAATGATCGCATCAATGGGTGAAACGTCGTACCTGTTCTAAAAATATATCTTACTTACTCGAGTTACTGTAAAAGCTGTAACTTATAATATAATATAAAACAGAGATTAATCTGTTTACTTGTTTGTTTCAGCGAAAAGCCGCAAAACAAGTTATCTGCTTTTTGTCCACTAGGGGAAATCGATCCCCAAGTTTTTCGGATAGTGGTACCCTCACATTCAAACCAGCTCCCATTTTCGAGTTTTTGTGTAAAACCAAAATATAGAATCTCATACAAATACGGGGATAAGTCTAGTTAATTTACCAAGATAAAATAGTAAGGAAGTGATTCTTTAACTAATGGCAAAAGAAACGTCAAAAATAGATCACTAACGAAAATGATCATCATGTTTCTGTTTTCGATATCAAATTAGCTGTTAATCTGATTCCACAGTCCTAAGATTCATTTTTTGCACCTTACTCTCTCTAACGTGTATCGAGTGTTTCAGTAGAACATGTAATTGAATGCTTATTTCTTGTTAATTCTACATTTGCGATCTGAATTTAAATGGATAATGTTTTAATGGTTTAAGCTTACAAATGGTCTGTTCTTTCACTGGGGTGTGTGTCTTTGAGCCAGACTAGTTTTGAAGAATTCCACTTCTCATCAGTGACCCTGGACACTACCACCAATGAAATATCAAATCAAACCAAGACTTTGTAGTAGTGAGGTATCGAAAAATCGAAAGAACAGACCATTCAAAGCTTTTACTTGTTGTTAAACAAATGTTTAAACAACTCTATTCAATTAAGTATGAAAATTGTTCCTGGCTGTATAGTGAGCAAGAATGAAAGACACCTTCCTTTATGTAATAGGAATGAAAAATGTTTCTTTTTACTATGAAGTAAGTAAGGATGAAACACCTTTTTCGCTGTATAATGAATTAAAATGAAAAACGTTTCTCATAAGGTATTGAACAAGAATGAATCCCATTTTTTCATATGTCTTGCGTAAGGATGATACACAATGTACCTTTTAAATTTGTACGGAATATTACATAAATTAATCGATAGAAAAAAAACATTATAATTATCCGAAATAAATATTATTGCTACTTTTAATTAACACGAAATTTTACGTCTAGTGCGTTCAATATCCTTTTCTTATTTGCGACTTAACGACTTGCTTTAGACGGATATTTCACAACTAAGTAAGTTTTTATACATGAATTTTTCTGAGGAATTAAAAGTCAAATAAAAGTTCAGATTGGGATTTTTAATAGATTTTTCTTTCTTCAATGTAATGTTAGACAGTGCTAGGAAGTTTTAATAATCTATTGAATGCACCAAATATTTTCTTCCACAGTACACGATTTCAAATTTATATTCTTCGCACAAATTGCGTACAACAAATGGAACTTACTTACGTTACAGCATGCTTACAGAAGTGTTGATCATATTGAATTTGCGTTCACTACATATTTCAATAACATAATTCTATTAATTAATTTTTTGCCTATCTTGACAGATTTATAAAACATTACATTAAACTGAAAATTAGCCTGTCTTATACAAACTAGCTACGATAGGAAGAAACACTATTTTAACGACGATTTGTTTGTTTGTTT